AGTGGACCTAGTTGAGCCTCAACGGTTGGACAAAAAATGAGATTGACTTCATTATGACGACCAGACGCCTACTGTTCAGTGATGTCTAAGTGATCGCAAGGGTGAAATCGGCAGCGATCACCGAATGGTTAGAGGCACACTGAACATAAACGTTAATTTGTAGAGGTCTCGTCTAATGAAGTCAACGCTAATCCAGAATCCCGAAACCTTTCAGCTCGAGTTACGTAACCGCTTTCAGTGCCTAGAAGATTGCAATGCAGTGGACGATATGAATGACAAGCTCGTGGAAACTGTCCAAGCGGTCGGAGCTAAGTTCTGCAAGACCCGCCGCAGAAGAACACAAAAACCTCCGATCACATTCTTAATCTCATGGCTGGTTAGACAGGAGATGAGGCTGCAATCGTCAACAAATTTTGGCAGCATACAGGCAACTGAACAGACAGATCTCCAAATGCATGCGGCGATACTTGCGCAACTTTAATACTGCTCGTATTAAAGAAGCGATCGAGCGGAACCAGGGCTCCAAAGTCTTTGCCAGAGATCTGTCTGCCAGAAAGAGCCAACTGTCAAAGCTGAAGACTGAGTGTGGCAGCATCGTTTCCGGGACACCTGAGATTTTGAGTGAGATTGAGAGGTTCTATGGGCAGCTGTACACATCATCGTTGGAGCCACACGCAAATGTGAGTAACGTTCCAAGAGCAAGTCTTATCCGACACTATTCCGATGATGTCCCGGGCGTCAGTCTAAGCGAGATTAAAATGGCTCTCCAGCACCTTAAAAACGGCAGGGCCCCAGGTGAGGATGGAATTACAGCGGAGCTTCTGAAAGCGGGTGGAACACCGGTACTTGAAGTCCTTCAGAAGCTCTTCAAATCCGTCCTCCATGGTGGCACTACTCCGGAGGCGTGGAGCAGAAGTGCGGTGATCTTGTTCTTTAAGAAATGCGACAACGCTCTTTAAGAACTACAGACCGATTTCCCTTCTGAGCCGCGTCTACGTGCTGTTTTCGATAGTCATTATGAATCGTCTCGCACGCAGACTCGATGACTTCCAGCCTCCCGAACAAGCCAGTTTCCGAAAAGGTTTCAGTAGCATAGACCACCTACATACTCTGCGGTAGATTGTACAGAAGATCAAACAGTACAATCTGCCACTTTGCCTGGCGTATGTGGGCTATGAGAAAGCCTTTGATTCCGTCAATATTTGGGCAGTGCTACAGTCCCTTCAGCGGTGCCAAGTTGACTGTCGGTATATCGAAGTGCTGAAGTGTTTGTACAGTAGGGCTACGATGGCCATCCGAGTACAGAACCAGAGTTCGAAACCTATCCAACTGCAGAGAGGTGTAAACTGGACGTTATATCCCCGAAACTCTTCACCGCTGCATTGGAAGACGTTTTCAAACTACTGGACTGGAAAGGATACGGTATTAACATCAATGGCGAGTACATCACTCACCTTCGATTTGCCGACGATATAGTCCTTAGGACCTAAGCACTATGCTCAATTACCTCAATGGTGTCTTCCAACGGATAGGTCTTAAGATGAACATGGACAAAACAAAGATCGTGTTTAATGTCCATGTCACACCTATGCCGGTAGTTGTTGGGAGCACTATGCTCGAAGTTGTTGACGAGTACGTTTACCTGGGACAAATAGTCCGACTAGGTAAGTCCAACTTCGACCGCGAGGGCAATCGACGGATTCAACTCGGTTGGACAGCGTTCGTGAAATTACGACACATCTTCTCGTCATGTATACCTCAAACTCTGAAAACTAGATTGTACAATCAGTGCGTGTTGCCAGTGATGACTTACGGGTCTGAGACGTGGTCCTTCACTGTTGGTCGTATGAGGACGCTCAAGGGTGCTCAGCGAGCTATGGAGAGAGCTGTGCTCGGAGTTTCTCTGCGTGATAGACTCAGAAATGAGGATAGTAAAACCAGAGTGACCGACATAGCCCAACGGATTAGTAAGCCAAAGTGGCAATGGGCCGGCCATATAGCTCGAAGAACCGATAACCAATGGAGAAGAAAGGTCCTCGAGTGGCAGCCTCGTACCATTAGACGAAGTGTAGAGGGCGACCTCCTATAAGATGGAGTGACGACCTGGTAAGACATGCAGGAAGTCGATGGATGCAGGTGGCTCAGGACCGTGCATTGTGGCATTACTTGGGGGGGGCCTATGTTCAGCAGTGGACTTGTGAAGTGCTATAATGGTGAAATGACCTACAGAGGCACCCGTAGACGCGGGGATGGTCGTCGCTGTCTAGGCGCAGTCAAAGGATAGACAGGTCCGTACTTTCAAGACTGCCGAGGCGTCGAAAACATATGTCCTCTCTGATGTATATGCTAACTCCAGCCCGGGGCACAAAGGAATGTTCTAATATGTAGACCGGGTAGGAGAGATATGAAGTATCGGCTGGAGAGGACTCGTTGCAAAAATTCGCGGATAACATGGCAGCGGTCACATTTGTGTTGTTGCTCCGCTTGCTCCAAGCAGTTTTTGTCGCGATCGGAATTTTGCCACCCAGAATACGTGGAGCAACCTGAGCACCCACACTCAGGAAGAGTTGGATAACTTATAATTATATATAATTATGCTCAGCGAGGGATTCTCCGTTACCAGGGGTGCTGGTACCCTCCTCGGGTAGATCTTCAATTAATTCTGGCCACCTGCATTCACCAAGCTAAACGCAGAGTTAACTCTCTACTTCACGCTGGTATTTTGTGAGGTCGTGGTACCACCTCGGTTTGAGCCGGCCCATCCGTGCGACAACAAAAGCTGCCACATGGCTCTATCAGGGTTACTTGATATGTGGCGCCAAGTTAAGCAATTTTTCACCTTTTAGGGTATTTCGAAAGGTGTCGAGTTGACTAAAAATTGCGATTGGTGACTGGTCGCAATTTAGGCTAATTCGAAAAAAAATTTTAAAAATTTTTACCTATGCAAAATAATCTCTCTTTAATAAGTCTCATAATATGTAATAAAAATGCGTGTAATGAAACATATGTTTTGTTACTGAGAACTATCAAAGAAAACTAGATTAAAAGGTATTTAAAAATATACTTTAATGCAATGATATTATAACAAAAAGAGGTAGAAAAGAGGTATATCCTATACGCGCACCGAAAGTGGCACGTAAAAACTATGCTAATTAGCAAAACTCAGTCGTCGCGCTATCGTCGCGTCATTGACAACGGCGTTGATAGTAATTGGTGTTTTGTTTTTGCACCTAAAATGCCGTCATATGTGATGAGATTCTGCACAAACTACGCAAGAAAGGTTTCCAAAAATCAAAAATTGTTAATCAATTCACAAAATACGTATTTTAAAACATATTGTCAGAAAAAATTGACAGGGATAAAAATACCTCAATGAGTGAGTTTGAAAGAGAAGTAATAATGTTTCTGATCAAAGAATATAAAAAACAGATAGGTCTCTTCTGAGTTTCGTAATTCAAATTGTGTACATATAATTCTTGTTTTATTGAAGGGTAAATTAACTATGTCATTATTAATTAATAAGTTCAATTTATTTCCTTGACGTAATGAAGTGGTATATACGTTCGTATATAATTATTATAGCACTTTATTTGATAATAAATTTTTAATGAAATCAATTATACTTTTTTATTTGCCTACTTTTAATGAATTAAATAAAAAAATACTACTTTATTACTTTTACTACACGCACTCATGAGTGAATCACGTTTTAGGCATAAATCACGGTGTACGGTATAATGTCATATCTGATTAATTATTCTACATCGTTCCTACTACACAAGACCACGCACTGTTGCAAATTACATTTGTCTCTTTTACGCTTGTGAAAGTTTAATCATGCCATCCTACTTTGACGTCTAATCATAATGTAGTGTGCTATTGCAATATTTAGTTATTTATGTGTCATGTTTATGTGTTCATCGAATATTGTGTAGGTAACCTATCTACACCTTTTTACTTATAATTTCTTTAATAGTAAGAAAGAGACCAAGACAAATAGATATATTTTGCATTGTTTGCCCCCACTACCACCGCCACGCCGAGTATACCGCAACAAGATACAGTTCCTATAACATATCTACCCGGGTTATCTTATCTGTCAGAAAAGAGTATTGCATCATTTCACACCTACATAAGATATGATTAAACTGCCCAATTTCCATAATAGATATATATATACTAAATACCAAAAACTTGACGCTCAATATAATTTTTCCACTCCTGTTACTTGTTTACTTACTGTTTGTTACTGTTACTTGTACTAGCTTATCATTAAGGAATGATGGAGGCATTTTAGATGAGGTACTTTTATTGGAAAATTACAAATAAATTGTGGCCGTGGAAGGATAACATTGGGGCTACGACTGTGGCCGTGGATGGGAGAAAAAGGGGGAGAACTCCCACCGGGTGTTCAGACAAGGGAGCGGCCAACACTCCGTGTATTATTTTGAGGCTTGTCATGGTAGCTTCGGATCTCTCATAATGCTATTTAGGCTTAGGTGCATTCCCACTTGTGGCCCAACGACAGTACCGCCTCAAAATTATGTTCTTAGTATGAAATATTAATATTAATAAACTTCATTATTTTATCCTGTTACAATTTAAAATAAGGTTGATTAAGGTAGGTCTACGTTTAAAAATATTCTTTATAGGCTACATACCTGATATTTGAGTAGGCGATTTTAAGTTACTTTACAGTAAAAAAATCAGGTGAATTTAGGCTACTTGGTGTCATTGGCGACTTTTCCGGTCTAGACTTGATAACATTGGTCATACAGCACAACACTAGAAGAGACGCTACCGAAGAGCCAAAAACCCAAAGAGCAAAGAAATATTTAATTGTCTATGCTAAATTGGTAATCAAGGAAATCGCAATTTGGATTTGGAATTTTGGAATAATTGAATTATCAAAGGATATAATAAAGCAACGGATTCGTATTGTAATTGCCCGTTGTGCGGATTCTGTGTATAACGGTGTGCTGAAATTACATTAAACAAAGATGTTAGGTTCAGGAGACGGTGGTCACATTGTTAAGTTACGCGGTCTGCCTTTTTCTACAACAGTTGAAGATGTACTTGATTTCTTGGCAGGTGTTAATGTATTAAATGGAAAAGAAGGTAAGATAAACATTAAAGAGCGTAATTATTAAATAGAACTCTAATATATTGTATTATGTGTCTTGATCTAATGACCATTAAAATAGCTTTCAGCCATAAAGGCTTCTACATGCCGCCTTTACCCTTGTAAGTTGCTTCCGTAAAATTAATGTAACAGACTTCGTCAACACATATATATTAAATTACAGCCAATAATACGTAACATTTTGTGACTTTCACTAGCGTAAATGTCAAATTCGTTTATTTATAAAATTCAGATGTGTTAGCGCAACTTGTTTCACGGTTCGCATAAAACGCGAGTTTGCTTCCCACCAGTACAAAAGAAATTGTTAATTGCAATTTTAAAAGCACTTTAAAAACTGCAAAACTGTGGAGGTAGAGTAGCAAAGTTTTTGAGAAAATATGGTGTCGGCTAAAAATCTTTTAAATCAAACCAGCAATAGGGGAAGGTGATGTGAAGGGAAAGAAGAAAATAAGATCCCTTTGAGGAAAAAACAAAGTGTAGAAAAAGCATGTTTAGACTGCCAGCAGTGGCTGTTAAAAAAATAATAAGGATATCTTGCACCTTATAATAAGTTAAGAAAAAATGCTATTCTGTTGCAAGATTTTAGGTACAACCCGGTTGAGCTAAGTTTGCAACTCGCTGCAATGTGAGACCCTCCATTCATACAGTCATATCAGTATGGTTTACATCTTTGTTACTAATATGCATGTCATAGTTTTCATCTCTTTTATGTTTAGTTTTTGGATTATTCTTGTATGCTGAAATGTGTGCTTTATGTGCATTTTATTATGTAACAACAACAACTATTAACACATGGCATAATAGCTTTTTCTGTTAGTATGCCACTATAGTAACTAATCACAACATTGCCATATTATGTTACAGGGGAACCCCGGTAATCTGGCCCCTGTCTAAACCAGTGCCCCATGTAATTGGACATGGTCTATTATTTATTATTGAATATTTTTTGACAATCTTCGCTAATGCATGATTGAACAAGTTATAACTTTTAGGCCTCACTACTAGGTATTGTTTTGATTCTGATTGAAAATAATGGTTGAAAGATCATAATTTTCCTCAAAAAGCATTATTGCTTCTTGATAATGCTGAATTTGATTGATTGATTCATCATTTTTTATTATTTTAGTATGTACATTTGTTTGTACACAATTATTTCCTACTGTAAAGTTATTGCATATTTTTTGAAGTTCTATAGCTTTAATGACGTTAATTTTATAATAAAATGTAAGCTCTCTATTGTGTTATTTAATTTACTAAATTTGACGTACCTAATGAGGTATGATTTGTACTTCAGAGTCACTGACCTCTATATATACAAGTACTCTGGACTGGCTATACACGTGACATGCTGAAGCGATTTGATTTCCGCCATTTTGGCGTTGACAGCAGAAGTGCACGTCCACGGAACTAATAATAGGGATAAGACAGTGTACCAAATTATATCGATAAAAATTCTATACCCTACCTAAATAAATAGAATGGACTCTATGGATAGATGGACTCTACCCGTAACGTCCATTCTATTTATGTATCATATTAATATAATGCCATTATCATTCATCATCATTAAAACCCTTCACAAGTCCACTGCTGAACATAGGCCTCCCCCAAGGAATGCCACAAAGCATGGTCCTGAGCTATCTGCATCCAATTTCTTGCATGTCTTACAAGTTTTTGACTCTATCTAGTGGGGGAACGTCCTACATTTCACCTGCCGGTACGAGGCTGCCACTCGAGAACCTTTTTTCCCTATCGGTATTCGGTTCTTCGAGCTATATGGCCGGTCAATTGCCACTTCAGCTTACTAATCCATTGGGCGGTGTCCGTCACTCTGGTTCTGATGCAGATATCTTCATTCCTAAGTTTAAACCCCTGAGCATAGCCCCCTTCATAGCTCGCTGAGCGACTTCGAGCTTCCTCATACGTCATCGAGGTCATCACTGGCAACACGCACTGGTTGTATAATCTAGTTTTGAGGTATTCCTGACGAGAAGATGTGTCTCTAATCTAATCTCCCGAACGCTGCCCAGCCGAGTTGAATCCGTCGATTGACCTGTCGGTCGAATTTGAACTTACCTAGTCGGACTATTTGTCCCAAGTAAAAATACTCGTCAACAACTTCAGCTAAATGCTCCCAAAAACCACCGGCATATGTGTGACATGGACATTACACGTGACTTTTGTTTTGTCCATGTTCATCTTAAGATCTATCCGTTGGGAGACACGATTGAGGTCATTGAACATAGTGCGTAGGTCCTCCAGCGATTCTGCATTAAGGGCTATATTGTCGGCAAAACGAAGGTGAGTGACGTACACGCCATTGACGTTGATATCGTTTCCTTTTCAGTCCAGTATCTTGAAAACGTCTTCCAATGCAGCGGTAAAGTATTTCGGGGATATTACGACACCCTGTCTTACACATCTCTACAGTTGGACTAGTTTTGTACTCTGGTTCTGTACTCGGATAGCCATTGTAGCCCTTAGACCATTCAACTATAAATTATTAAGATTAAACTAACTACACAAAATAAAAATAAAAACATAATTTCTAAAATAATTTATTGTCAACCGTTCATTTAGTTCTGGTATTATAAAAAACAAATCAGCTGCTATAATAACGCCTATTATAATCAACTACAGGTTTGTCTATAGACAGTAAAATATTTTCTACTATTTAAAAATTTATGTTTGTTCGTACTTTCTACGATGCCATACCGTTCATCAGATTGCGGTCAAATTTAGTCAACTTATTGGTTGCACTTGTGCGAAGATTATACGCATGGTACAATTAACTGACACTAGGTGGCGTGCGTATTATATCGACTATTTATTTGAAAGTTATAGAAAGTTATATATCATTCTAATTCAATGATTTTATTTTCATTCCTAATTATACAATATAACTGTTCCACATTTTAACGATATTTCCACAATTATTTCTTCTGCGGCAGCTATGGCAGCCGGGTACGAGTTAGCAAGATAATATAAAAAATACAAACTTTGAATTACATAGTTATCAGTTATTAACGTCATTTTCGAATTAAAATTACAATATAAAAAAAATAACTGAAATTATCATAAAGTCGTACTTTCTGTGGTATCGTCCCAAGAATGCTGGCTACGTGTCCTCACTCCTCACGGAATGGCTATACTTAGCCTTCAAGCGAGGAAACAACAAACAAAACAACTTCTTATTATCAGCAGCGATGATCAGTCGCAGATACAGTTTTTTAGGAACTACACCGCACGTGCACCCTACGGACCAATAGTCTCTACAGCAAATTGCACTAATATGTCCTTATCTTCCAGATACTCTGGGCTATTTACTTAGTTCAGTTGCCTCTAATGCCACCCCTGGTTTAGACGGTACCCCTGAGATGTGTTCGCAAGTAGTATCCCACACTAAAGCTTTATCTCTCTCTCTCTCTTCCAGATACTCTGGGCTATTTACTTAGTTCAGTTGCCTCTAATGCCACCCCTGGTTTAGACGTGGTACCCCTGAGATGTGTTCGCAAGTAGTATCCCACACTAAAGCTTTATCTCTCTCTCTCTCTCTCAAACAACCAAACCCATACTGTTGGGTCTCCTGGTATCGTCTCTAAATATTCTACAAAGATCTTAAACCGAGGAAACATTTATAGAGATACGAGCTGCACTACGAACTTCCCGAGCCCGATATGAGAATGGAGCCAGGGAAAAACGAGCACTTGGAAGTATCAAGTGGTGCAGCCTCACCAAAGTCGCGAAAGATAGTCAAGTGGTGCATCGCCAATCGCCATACCAACACTCCTCTTCCCTTACGACTCCACCTCGACTACAGCGGTCCAGGGAGAGGAATCTCCTCTAGCCGCAGCCCACTAACACACATCCAACGTGGCTCGACATGATCAGGCGATTTTTCGACACTTGGCTATGGCCCTTGAGTTTGGTGGAAAATGAGAAAATAAGAAATAAAAAACATTCGAAATAATAATCTATTTGTTCCAAACATGATCATTTTGTTTCGGACGCCAATACACAATATTTATGCTTTTAAGCCATAATTTTAGTCTAGGTTCAGTTGGAAACCTTTGATATTTAATTAATTTGTTTAATTACTTAATAAACATTTGATAATCATCCGTTGTTGGCGACTTTTTTTGTTAACACATATGGGTAGGAAAGAACATCGATAAGTATTATAGACAAGGAACTCGACAACCCTATTTAATTTTATTGTTTATCAAAACTCAGTAATATACACCCAAACATGTTGGTATATATGATATTAAGATTAGTAACAAATTTTTAAGTACTTATATTATCAAATAGTTTTAATTTGTTAACAGCAAATATTAGCTGCAAATTCTTACTTGTGAAATGTTATACCACTTTCCTTTAGGTAACGAGTTTTACAGATTACGCACACTCTCATTATTAATAAAAATAATTCTTATTATGTAACTAATATTATACACAATCAAACAACAAAATACTTTCGTTTTTTAGTTTAAAAGTTCGAAATAAAGACTTATGAAATAAATCAATATAAATAGGACAACAGACTTTGGCATATTACGTCAATTTTATTTTTCAAGACATCCTTTAGCGGCGCTTCAAATTGGCACAGTCATTTTGTATGGTATAGCCAGTCCAGCGTACTTGTATATATAGAGGTCAGTGTTCAGAGTACATATACATAGCATATAGAATCTTATCATTGAATCTGTAATTTGTCAAATTACAAGGTACTCTTGTAAAAATTCCGTACTGTAGGACTATAGTCTTAGGTAGTACTCTATAATTTGACAAATTTGATAGTCCAACAATGACCTGCAAAATGTTTGTCAAATAACTGGGGGTCCACTGTATTAAAAATTGAAGTTTAACAGTTAGACTTTATATTTTGTGGCAGAATACCATTATTTCTGTACTTACTACTTGTGTTAGCCACTTACCTTCATTTTTATTTGGCCAACACCCCACAGTGAAGTAAAAAATTTTGTATTCTGAAATTTGATTTCTGCACTTTAATATTTGGGTATTTAACACACCTTGATAACCTTTTCTCCACTAAACAATATAAACCTAATATTCAGTATAACATGTTACATTTTCGACAGTGAAGTTAAAACTTTATAACTGACATGTTTTCTGTGGAATAAAATATTTTGAGGCCATATGACAAGTGCCAAAATGTACTGGAGCAGCGCAGTGGATTAATACTTTGCATTATCTGGTTTATCCAACCTTTAAAAAATCAACCCTAGGCTGGATACTCGGAAACACATGTAATATTATTTTTCTTTCAATTTTCTCTCTCTGCAAAATTACTAATGATTGTACACACAATCATTAGTAATTTTATACTATCATGGTCCCCTCGTTTTTTGGCTCTAGAAAATTGAAAAATCATCCGATTCCGATTATTTTTTTAAATCTTCGTTATTATGGCGGATTTACGAAAAAATATGGAAAATATCTCACTTGAAGATTTCATATAGTTTTAGGACATTAAATGTGATCATAAACACACTTCTTCGAATATATCATTCATAACTTATTTGCAAAGCAAGTTTATATTTTTTTTTCATAATCTACACAAAAAACGATACATTAAAAATGTTTGTTTATTAATTTTTTATTTTGGTGTTTTATTGAGTGTAAGATCAAGCGAACCGAGCTCGGGGCTTAGGGCATCCCGACTCGGACAGGTTAGGTTAGAATCTCCTTTGTAGTTATTTTTTTTATATACCACTTAGAAGTAGGAGCCTTAGAGTTACGGCAAAGAGTTGAGGGAGGGAAGCACCACGCCACTCAACATAGTGCAGTCGAGGGAAGCCCGATCAACGGAGCCCCGCTCCTACTTTTAACTGGTTTACAAGAATTAACCAATGAGATCTCCTTCTAACCTAACCTGTCCGAGTCGGAATGCCCTAAGTACCGAGCTCGCTTAGTTCGATCTTACATTCAACAAAACACCAAAATATTAACTTTTATAATTATTTCGATTTTCTAGAGCATTTATGATAACATTTAAAGTCAGAAAACGATATAAAAACGTTAAGTGAGATTTTTTTATAAATAAACATTTTTCAATTTTTTTTTTAATTTTCGTTTTTTGTGTAGATTAAAAAAAATATAAAGTTCGTTTAATGCTTTGCAAAAAAGTTATGAACGATTATATTCGAAGAAGTGAGTTTATGATCACATTTAAAGTCATAAAACTGTATGAAATCTTCAGGTGAGATATTTTAACCATGAAAACGAATATGTAAAAATAAATAATCGAAATTGGATCATTTTTTGATTTTCTAGAGCCAAAAAACGAGAGGACCGCAAAAATATATAATTACACAATCATTTATAGAAACATGATAAAAACTGGCCCAAGATACTTAGTAGACATTACCTATAAAAATGTATACATACTTATTGTTTGAAAGGCACTGCTGAAATAAAAGGACTTGAAAAAAAAGAAAAACATTCAATACTAACATTTTTATAATGCCTGCAAAAAAGACCCTGTTCTTCGCTTACACATCTGTTGTAGCAAACAAATATAGAAAATAATTTCAAATGTACATTAAAAGTGACAAATTAATCCAGGTATCCTATTCAATAATGAAATTAGTGTTGGTAATTGCCTGGACGTACTACAGAATTTATTAATTATGTAAATAATATTATTTCAAATGAGATGGTTTAATTTGGTTTAAATGCAATATGTAATGTTTTTTGATTAAGTTTGTGGTTATTAAAAATTAATTAATAAATAAAGTGTATGTATTGAACTGTGCTGGGGGTAAAAAGTTGGAAGAACAAATAAAAGTGATGCAGTCTTAATGTCAAGTCAATGTTGCTGATGATATACCAATAAAATATATATTCAAAGAACTAAAAGGAATAAAATTATTTCACATTCTGAAATTAGTCCTCTGCTGAACGTAGGCATCCCTTCACCATTGATTTTCGACACCTATAACACCCACCATCACACATTATCAACGTCCTGGACGTTACTCTACTTTATTTTGTGGGTGCAGCTCCACACTTTGCTTATTGGTACAAGGTCACAAGTTCTTTGAGCTATATGGCCAGCCTGTTACCAATTCAGCTTACTGAACCCTTTGCTCTGTGTCGGTTATTGGATAGAAAACAGAAACTCCCATGGTGTATTTTTAACTGATTTTTTTTTAATTTAGAACTGAGAACCATAACTGAATTTTCACTAAAAATTTTGTTAGAATAAAACTTTTCGCAAAAACTAAATCTGGATTTTTAAGATTTAGATTTCTAATTTATGAAAGAAGAAAGTCTTAAGCATTTACATTCCTTGTAACCAATAGACTTATCATTTTAGGAGTTCATTTGACGGAAGTGAGACCTGGCAGACCCTCTGGGGAGTGCTTTGTAGAAGTATGTGATCAGGCAGATGTTGAAGAAGCTTTGAAGAAAGATAAAGAAAATATGGGCAAGCGATACATTGAAGGTAATGTATCTTTTGACTTTAATAATGTCAGCAATGCAAGGGTCAGTTTATTTACTAAGTTATTTCACTTTATCTAACTTTGAGCGTGTTCAGGTGTTAGTTGTACTTAGTCGTTCTACTTTTGTGCAGCCTCATTAATCATAGGATTTAACAGTACTGTTTAAGAGAAAAAACCCAGTTTACCCAATTGAAGTATGTATTAAAATACCTAGCTACAAATTTCAAACAAAAAGTTTTCAAGGCTTTTTACTCATAAAATCTGCACTGTATAGATTATCTGCAACTAAAGGTCATAGTTTTTAGATGCCCAGAACACTTTGTTTATAATAATGGTGGTTAATATGGCACTATGTGCTATATAGCGCGCTATCTCTCTATAGCGCATAGCGCGTGCTATGTAAGTAGGCGCTATGGCGCTTTGACGTTATTAATATCTAGCGGAAAATACCAACTATAGTCCGTTCGCGTTAAGAAAATAGTGAGTCATCAATGCAACTACAGGGTAAAGGTGTATTCACAGTGGAGTAAAAATTCTTTTTTTTTTTTTCAAACATTTAATCAAGTTTAATGGAAACAAATTTTCTTAAAATTACTTAAATCACTAATCAGTATCGCTAGACTCTCCAGTTACATTAATTATGAAAGAATTTTGTTTTGCAAGTTCCATGATGTCATCCAAATTCTACATGGTATTTTCTTCGCGTATCACGTGGTCGCAGCACTTCTTCCAACGATTAGCGTCTATTAATGCTATTGCGTCATCTAATAATTTTTTTATGTCACTCACGTTGAACGTGGAGTTATTGGCACCAACATAATTTTTTATTTGGGCACAAACCAATTCAATTGGATTAAGTTTGCTATGGTAAGGCGGTAGGCGAAGAATTGTAATGCCATTACTTTTTTGCAGTCTCATCTATTAAATATTTATTATATTGTGGGGCGATTTTGGCAACTTTCATTAATAATTCTTTTTTTAAATAAGTCATGTCCATGGATTTGCCTTTGCTTTGCAGCCAATCTATTATTTGCTGCTTGTTCCAGCTGGTTGTTGGTATTTTTTTGACTCTTACCGAATGATAGGGAGTGTTATCAATGACAACCACACTTCCTGGTTCTAGCTTAGGCATTATATTAATGAACCAATTAAGGAATATAGGAATCTTTCACCATCCATCTCTTCATGATAGTCTTTTGTAAACTTAGATTCAAATACTAGTAGACCATCTTCCACGAATCCTTTATCGCGGCCAATGTGCAATACAATTAACCTTTTACCTTTTCCTGTCGGAGCTTTTGGACCGGCTGATAAGCCATCTAGAAAGGCTTGTCTTTTATTTTTTACCGTTGTATCCATAACCACAACCATGCTTTTGTCTTTACGTGTCCGGCGTTTACCCACGTTTCGTCAAGATAGTAAATGGTTTTATTAGCGGCTCTGTATTCTTTTATTTGCCTCAGATATTTACGCCTTCATAAAACAATCTTTTCTTTCGACTGTTAGTCGTGCTAATCGTAAGTCGTCGTCATGTTCTGCTATCCTGTTTATTGAAATCGAAACCAAGCTCGTGCATTATTTTATGAAGTGTGGTACGTTTGAAAACAGGAATATCTTCGTCAGCTTCGCAAAGTGTCATAATTTTGTCCAATGTCGGGTAGTCGTTATTTAAATATATTGAGTGAACTTTTCTCCTTATTGCACATTTGTCTAGTTCATCTAATTTATCGACCGTCGATAGTCGAGCTCGTTTTTTCACAGGTGATTTTAATGTGTTAGTATTCTTTTGTTCTTTAATAATTTTATAAACAGTATTTTCGGACACACCACATGCACTTGCTGTTTTTATTACTGTGCTCTCCACAGTCGCATTTAAATCACACAGTTTAAAGTACTTATAAACATTGTAAATTACGCGTCTCTCTCCGCTATGGATTATTGATCCACTTTTATTCTTTCAAATAGGTGAGGTATTCATTTTAAAAAATGAACACACGCAAAATACACAACCGTATTGTTCGAAGGCCTGACTTCAACTGGTCACTGTGAACTCGACTTCCTAATTTCTTGCATTTTAATTGGCGTTGGGGGGCGTGGCCAGGCCGGCGGACAACGATGACTCACTATTTTCTTAACGCGAACGGACTATAGTTCTAGCAACAGCGCGTGGACGTGTGACGCAAATTTGATCTAGTAGCACGCTATTCATCACACGCGACCTAAAAGTGCTCGAAGGACATGGTTGTCTGCTACAAAAGTAGCCTAACTAATTTTTTTAAATGTAAATAAAATATAGATACTAGTGTAATCTAAATCGTAAAATGATAAAATATAGATAATAGTATATCTTAATAGTTGATTTCTGTATATACAACCAATAAACTTTTAAATACGCCTTTAATTCATTTATAATTTACATTAAGGTTAAAATAACGTTTACATCGATTATAGACAGTCATAAGCCTGAAATATGAAAGTGTTCATTGGTTTTTCTATACTGCTTTATTTTATTTAGTCAAAAATGCGACTTATTACGAAATAATGTTCTTATATAGCACGCGGTCTATCCAACGAACGACATGTAATGTAACATGCTACGAGATTTAGCGTGTTTCAAAACTTTACGCGCTTGCCGGCATTGATTTATATAACCCTAGATCAGTAATAACTGCGCCAAAGCGTTGCCACTGCACATATGGCCACAGCCATATGCCTAGCTAACGTGAGTTCATTGTTCAATGTGACGCCGACAGAGTTGAGCCGCGACAAAAATGGGTAAATGTGTAGTGAAAGAATGCTATCCAAGGTCACAAAAACTTAATAAATCAAGCGGCATCACTTTCAACACATAATTTTTAGTTCTTGTTTTCATATAAACGTAAAAAAAACCTCAAATAATTAAATAAAATTATCGAATATTGCCATTTAGGTTCAATGTTGCCACTTTTCCGCATTTGTGATTATCCTACATTAATGGGAGACTATATAATTAATGGAGTAAGTTAATTTGTTACCTCTGATTTTAAATATTTTGGAAATTACAATAAAAACTACGTTTTAACTTTCATACAAAATAATTAATTATTCTTATTTTAGTTTATTCATGAATTATCTATTAAATATATTTTATTACCTATTTCATATTAATAATTTTATATTATTTATAATTTCATATAAATTTTATATTAATTATATTTTATTAGATACTTATTTTATATTGTTTGATTTATTATAATCATAAAAATACGTTTTATTTCATCATTATGTTTACTTCTATTCATCTGATAAGCTTTGTATCCCTTTTTTTCTAAAGGGACGTAATAAAGATTTTAAAATAAAATATACTTTTTTAATATAAAAACAATTAACTCCAGCTTAAAAAAACTCATTTTTATTGCGTATTTTAGGTAAAATTTCATATAGTAAGCCACACCAACCCGCCATTGCAGGTTTGTGTGTCTATCTTTATCTAATCTTACGACGACGATATTGTTTTCGCAACTTGTGTAAGTGAGATAGATATATGTTTACATAAAATTGTTATTAGTTTCAAAGCTACGTCGTCGCGTTTGGATAGTGGTTACACTTTTTTCGACGCGCGGTAATGTGGTTTGCTCCTCTAGTGTTGTATAACTCAATGCTTGCCGGCCTCTCACACGCTTACTTTTAATAGCGCGCTATAACATAGCGTATATTTAATAGCGCGCTAGAAATATATAGTTTATAGTTTGTATGTTTGTAGCATTAACTTTAGTTTATAATACCATATGCTACATCAATATGTTAATTTGGTATAAAATTTAAGTCTCTAGTGTTAGTTTTCATTCATGAACTTATTTATCCAATAATAATAATATTGTTCTAGTTTTTGCAACTGATCGTCAAGACATGGAGTGGGCCTTGAATGCCATGAACCAATCAGAGAATGGGTTTGGTGGCATTCCTAATTTAAATGATGACATGGGAATAGTAAAGCTTCGTGGCTTACCCTTCGGGTGCTCTAAGGAAGAAATCATCCAGTTCTTTGACGGTAAGTTTTCTAACATACTTGTTATTTTTTCAATTATATTACCAATTTAAGGTCATCACTCCATGGGGGATGCATAGGTTTCTATAATTCTGTGGTGGGGAAAATGATGTGACTTAAGTAATTTGGAAGATTAATCTTTATTCACATTTATCTCTTTACAAAAAATATATGTAGGTACATAAAAATTTTCCTTTATCTTACTGTCCATAAACATTTTTTTGATTTTCTATATTACTATACTGAGACAACAATTCAGTTTAGAAGTATTTTATTTAAAATGCATGGAATATTATCACATTTTTACTAATTTTTGTTTTTTTAGTAATTAGGTGTTACAACGAATAAGTTTCAATATAGAAATAGTCACATGATCCCACCACAGTGGGTGTCAATAAGTTGTATAACATGATCTTTATTTGCATCTGGGTGGGGCAGGGCTGACGGTGGCCCCTGAAGGGGTGCATTTGCTCTACGACCACACGGGAAGGGCCTCGGGCGAGGCGTTTGTTCACTTCGTTGACAAGGGGAGCGCTCAGGAGGCACTCAACAGGGACAGGGAGAAAATAGGACACAGGTGGGGGGCAAGTTATTTAACATCAGGCCAAGTTTGTGACACGCTGTGGGGATATTGGGCAATGTTAAAAACTTTTACGGCTAGTAAATTTACGTATAAATTGCGAAACCAGTGGAATGTGTATTCATTTATAATATATTTTTTAAATCATCTTAATCTTATAATAAATTCTCATCACAGAAAAAGTTCTATCTCAATAGTAATCAACTGGTAGAGAGTTTTATTATGTCCTGTAACATTATTTAATATATGTAATTAAAACTAAATATATAAACTACAGGGTTACTGGGCACTCGACAACTTTCTGGCAGGGTGTGATAGGGGAGTGTCCATATGTATGGGTGATAATGATCAGATCTTGTGATATACGGATTTTAAAGATTTTTCAATAATCACAGAATTTCGTATTATATTCTAAATAAAACCTTTTTTTGTATGCTTTCTTTTAAGGTTTTATTTTTATTTAGAATTTAATATGATATTCTGGGTGATTATTGAAAAATCTTTAAAATCCGTAAATCTCAAGGCCTGTGTTCATTTTCGGTTATACATAAAGGTGTCAAATTTGTAGCATTTTGACTCCTCTATTACGCTCTGCGCAGAAGTTGTCGTGTTCCCGGTAACCCTGTATATAGTAATTTGAAAGACATATTGACAAAATTTTCTCTGCCACAACCCTTCATATTTAAAAAATCTTACCATTCTTATCTTTTTCCAAATAATTTTCTCAATTACATTTAAATATGATTTTATTTGTGTATTAAAATATAGATATGTAATTGAATAGGAAAGAAGTGGGTATCCTAGACTCAGACTCCCTCACACATAATTCAATAATTTAATTTTGCAAATATTGGTTGTTGCAAAACTTTTATAATTATTATGAGAGGTATCTGTACTGTAGCTTATTATCAGAATAATATATTAACCTCTTTTTACCACTTTTAGGAAAGTTCTGAGGGGAGCATTGCCTAATATCCTTATTATGTTGTGATACCAAACTGTGGCAAATGTACAACTAATTTGGTGTAGTGGGATAAGTTTGGGTCCTCCCACGTCGTGGCACTTTATGGTTTATGGGAAACCTTTAGAACTATGTAAGAAGTAGGGTTTGGTAAAGGGGAAGGGGAAGTATTGGAAAATAATATTGCGTTTATTACATTGTGACTTACAAAAATATGGGAGTCAACTGTAATCCATAATAGCCACTGACATAGAGGAGAATTAGCACTGAATTTTTGTTATAAAACTAAGGGTTTATTATCTAGGGGCTGTTCTTTAGTTAAAATTAATGTAATTTGAATGCTGCCAGGTTCTTATTTTCTATTTTAACATCAGCAGTTCACTAGCTGGACTCATAAGTTTCCATTGCTATAATGGGCTACTGGTAGAGTCAATAAGATTCAAGAAAGGTTTGGTGTGATGTGCGGTTTTTTTTTTCGGTTTTTTTTTCAAACTTAGCCTGTATTCAGTTGGCAAAAAAGCCAATATTTTATAATACACACACCAATAAAAACCATGAAAATTCAGAATCTTTAAAAAATAATTTATGTAGTTTAGAAACGTACTGGCAACATTTATAAACATTATTGTGATTGGATATTGAGTTATTAAGGTTGGGAGTGCGAGGGGAAGAGGGATGGAGGGGAGCGGGACAGTCAACGGGGAGAGGAAGAGGGAAGATGAAGAGTTCAGCAAAACATTTTCTGTTATCTGTGGTATTTTTATTTGAAGGTTAAAAATAAATTTTTGTCATTCGTGACATCCAATTGTTTTTCATTAAATATTTTTATCGTTATTATTATTCAGTTGTTGCCCAATTTTTTTCAGTAAAAAAAATCAGTTAGATTCATTATTATGTAATTCTTTATTTGTGATTTTGGACTACAACATACGAGATGTCGTGGCTTATCATACAATAATTAGAACTCTGTTGTTATTAGTTCCATTAAAAGATTCAATATAAGTAGATAATTTTGTTATAAGGACAAATTAAAAAAGAAATATTTTTAAACAAAAATAAATACACTAAATTAATTTAAACATCATGTTGTATAACCTAAAACCATTTAGAGCGACATCGTCGGTTACCGTAACATTTAGGCAAAGTATTGACTCTGTCGACCTTTGCCCAGTAAAAATGATTTGTATTCATCAAGTTTAAAAAAAAAACAAACCTAGTCACGGTTATAAATATTGTATTGTTGTAGAATTTATTGTATGATAGCCAATATGTTTAGTATAAAGAATCTTATATCAACACTGATAATTCAGTACTGTTACTTTGTTAGCTAATTATATTAACAATACCAACTGCCTTATATTGCATGGGAAACACTTGATATTTTGTTGACAATGAAGACGATATTTCGTAATATGCATGATATATTACGAAACCATTTCTTCGCGTGAGTGTCGTAAAAGGCGACTATGGGGTACGCTACTATCTAGCTAAAATGCTAAAATGGTTTTCGCAAGATGGCAGTATAACCATCTTGATTACACCAAACGTTCAAATACCCAAACCGGTGCAGTGTCGGAGCGGCGTCAAAGGTGCGAGATTATTGCGACACTAAAATCGTCTACCAAGCGCGAGCATAAGGCAAATTGCCCCTTCGGAGGCAAAAGGATGTCCATATCCAACAGTAGATTTTTATGGATTATTATTTTGAGCTGATAAGGAAAGAAAAAATAAATTTACAGGCACCTAACCTACCTGTACCTGTGTACCGGTAGGCTAGGCAGATCCAGCATCTCTGATACAGGGATCTTTACAATCAAATCTAATCTACTGCTCATATCACAAATCTTTGACAGATTCGTTTTCGTTATTCATCAACTAAAATTGTATGGAAATAAGAACAGCACCCTTGGCGGACGTAAATTGAACTATGTTTTGGCATACAAAGTGCCACAATGGCTAATGTAAGCTAATGCTTAGATCCCAGGTCCGTAAAGCAACTCGTGTTTTTGCACAAATGTCGATTTCATATGGAATTGGATCGTATTTCCTGTGCCTGATTATGATCACGAGACCACGAATTCGTTAAAGAAAGTTAACCATTGTTAGCTAAATAATATCCATTTATTTAATTTTAATTATAAACACCATATACTGAGGGTTACTGAAACCGGACTTATGCCTTTTCTCTATCAGTCTACCTTGGGTGATTTGAGAAACTGTGGCAGGTGTGGCATAAATGAAAATATAAATAAATATAGTAAAATATATATATACTTATTATTATTATGTATATATTAACTTGTAAATGGATAACTGTATAAATGTTTTAAAATAAATTTGAAAAAAAAAAACAATTGATATGTATATATATTATATTAAACAATATATATACCTATACACAATAGTAATAAATTTTTGTTACTTTATAATTATTACACTTTAAAATAGTTACTAGTTAGTCATAAAATTGTACTGGCTGTTTATGACAACATTAGCTAGTGTTAGATTTAAATTATTTAATTTAAGGAAATCAACAATTTTTTTATAAGTACAGTGAATGTAAGTAAAGTGTAATGAACAGATTAATATTTGCCATATTCATTGTTATGTCCCTTATAAACAAAACAAAAAGTGATTTCATTGAATAAAATTACGAATATTTTACTTTGTTGTTAACTTACTTTAAATTGTGTCTACTTAATAAGCTAAACGAGACTAGTCGAAAAGTTAGTCACTCGATAGTGAAAGATCTAAAAAGAGCGAAGAAACCTCAACTAACATCTTGTGTTATCACACTCATCTAAATCTACAAAATCAAAGTCGGTTTGTAAAGTGTGTGGTTTTGGGCAGGTATATCGAGGTGTTCCTGAGTTCAGCGGACGAGGTGAGGGCGTACGGGACCCGGGACTCGGGACGTAGCTCGTCTAGAGGTCCCAGGCCGACACCGTACGACCGAGGCGATCGATACACGCCAAGATTTGCTCGCGGTCGCGGCTTTGGCAGAGGTAAGTTTGTCCCTTACTTAAACATGTCAAATATACTAAATTTTACCTCCTCAAAGTTAAAAAGCTTTTTAAACAAAGTTTTATAAAAAGAATTATTATAATATTACAGAATTTTTGAATGACAATAACTCCTGGTATGTAGTCGCTACAAAACTATTTCAAATTTATTTTCTGTTGTTAATTGTGAACCAGTGGTAAATTAAACAAGAGTGATTTTCAATAAGTATTATTTTTAATTTATATTGCATAAAAACGTTTCTGTTTCTGAGAAAGGCCTAACCGACTTTTCGAGCGTTTTAAGCACCTATGGTCATAGGTTCAGTATGTTAATCACCTGTGATGTTCAACATCCTGATGTCCTAGCTAACGAAGACTACCTTCAACTTTTAAATATATATTTTTTGTCCAATCTACGTAGAAAGAGCTTACAATATCTTAAAGTTTTGCAGTAGTATGCTTGAGTTTGGATTTAGTTTTATTAATTGTGGGATCTGAAGCAGATGGTAGCACCCAGACATCGAAGCCAGCTGTTAAAATTGGGATGTTTTTTTTTTTAATTTCAATAGCCTCGCGAATTATCTATAGTAAGGAATCAGTGTTTTTTGCGACGATTTGTGGTGTATCAAATCTAATGTAATGGTACGGAAGATCTTGAACATTTTGACATACGTACTTGAATTATTAAGATTAAGATACTTATTCAAGGAAAATGTTAAACTAATTCTGTTTAGGAAGGCATATTATATAATTAAGCAATTTAATGGAAGGTTTGCACCAAGATGGGCTGTGAGGCATTCCATCTTAATTAGGCATGACGACACACCTGTAGCCTTCTTTGTTTGAAATCAGTTATAGGTGTCCATGGAGTGCAGGAGCCGCTTACCATCAGGTACATTGTAAGTTGGTTTGTCATTTAATTTTTTAATAAAAATTAACGACATTCCTCGGTTTCGCCCGGTATTTATATATGTGGCTTTATTTAGATTTAAAGTTAGACAAATTTCTTAGTTATTTGGATAAAATCAAGTCTAGATCACTTCTGGTATTGTTATATATTTCTGTTCGTGAAGCATTATTGCAGTTGGTTCAGCTATTTCGAGATTCACTAGGATAGACAGAAAGACTGACGAAAATTCAAAAATGGTTATTCATGTTTTCATAGCTTGCCAATAACATTCTTCAGTTCAAAAGAAGTCAGTTATTTTGATATAACTTTTTTTATATAACTATTTATGTAACTGAAACAATATGGTGTAAAGCGTTTCATAATATATTGCATTGCTAACTTATTTATTTTCTGTTATATAATTTTTATAAGAGCATTTACAAGACTTCCGGTATCGTTATAAGAGGCGATAAAATACGTAAATTATTAAATATATTTAAAAATTTCATTAGCTAGTAAGAAGAATAAAGTGTTAAATTATAATTTACCATAAGAAAGAGACTAAATTGGTTGTTGTGAGAAGAAGGTTTTTTTTTAATACCTTGGTTTAATTTTGGGCCTTACGTTATTTTTAACATGTCAATCCCATTATACCTGATAACTAAGTAACACAATACAATTTATTAAATTACATAAAATACTAACTAAATTATACACCATTTGAGCAGCATTTGACAGTGGTTCAGAGAGAATGCTTTGATATTCAGCTATGTTACATATTTTAATGTCAGTTTTGGCGACTAGTAGTTTCCTCTCGTGATGGCTTTTGGAACATTTCGCGTGCAAGTGTTGTATATCTAAAGGCTTTATAATAGCTGAGGTAAACTTTCAGGGGGCGGGTTTGGCGGGCGTGGCGGGTTCCGGCGCGGCGGCGGCTACTGCGTGCACATGCGCGGCCTGCCCTTCAAGGCCACGCCGCAGGACATTGCCTACGTCAGTACTCGTGCACGCACACATACACACTATCAATCAAAGAACTACTATTTTCGGACCGCCCGATATCCCATTGAAGCTATTATAATCATTAACACATTGCCAAAATTTACCTTCATATTCTAATGATATTGTAGCAGTCTTTCATTGCCTGAAAACACAGATAAAACGACATTTTATAAAAATGAATCCTGGCTAGATCGATTTATTGCCCCCGAAAGCCCCTGGACACTAAATATTATGAAAATCGTTGGAGCCCTTTCCGAGATTCCGATTATATATATAAAAGAATTGCTCGTTTAAAGGTATAGGATCATCATGATTGGTAAGTTTTTAATATGAATACTTTACAAACATAATTTAATTTAAATTAAGTTAGGTTCCCCGGTTAAAGCTAACTTAGTGTCCTAGACGAAAATAGCTATTTACCATTTGCCAGCGCTTACCGCTTACGATCGCCATTTTACTTACAAGCGCTTCCTAGCGCTTTTTTCTGCCAAACGCAGCCATTCTATAGTTCGGCCGTTCAGAGAATGCGTTCCTGACACGTCGTGATTGAACTGACGACGTAACTTTGTAACGGCGTTGCAATTGCGAAATAATTATATTAATCAGCAATAAAAATATTTTTGCTGGTTGTTTACCGTTTTAACAATTGATGAGCATTAAAACAACATTATTATATCAATAATCAATGAATGTTATAATTTTGTGCCAAACTAAGTGTCAAATAACTTGGTAAACATCATCATTTCATCATCATTACAGCCCTTCACAAGTCCACTGCTGAACATAGGCCTCCCCCAAGTAATGCCACAAAGCACGGTCCTGAGCCACCTGAATCCATCGACTTCCTGCATGTCTTACCAGGTCGTCACTCCATCTAGTGGGGGGTCGCCCTACACTACGCCTACCGGTACTAGGCTGCCATTCCAGAACCTTTCTTCCCCATCGGTTATCGGTTCTTCGAGCTATATGGCCGGCCCATTGCCACTTTGGCTTACTAATCCGTTGGGCTATGTCGGTCACTCTGGTTTTACTGCGGATATCCTCATTTCTGAGTCTATCACGCAGAGAAACTCCGAGCATAGCCCTCTCCATAGTTCGCTGAGCGACCTTGAGCGTCCTCATACGGCCAGCGGTGAAGGACCACGTCTCTGATCCGTAAGTCATCACTGGCAACACGCACTGGTTGTACACTTTAGTTTTCAGAGATTGAGGTATACCTGACGAGATGTGCCGTGTAGTGGCGGTTAAGAATATCCACTACCCCATATCTTCCCGTGGGTGTCGTAAGAGGCGACAGAGGGAAACAGGCAGGAGATGGGCAGCAGCATCTTCCTGATAACAGTAACTGTACGACAAAAAAAATTGGGGTTGCCAACCCGCTCGCCAAGCGTGGCAACTATGGCAATATACCCCCCATGAACAATTACACAAATAGACGGCCCTCAGTCCCCGGCGGCCCCGCTATTCCTGGCTACGGTGGCGATCATGGTAATGGCGGGGCAGGGGGGTGCTAAGAATCTCCGGTGGAGTGGTTGCCACCTACGACGACTCGACTTGGCAACATTTATTAGAACGATACGACATAATTTTAAAACGGATAAGTTTTTTGAGAGAAGCAAAAAATATTGATAACTGGGATAATGTCGTGTTCATTGACAAGACATGGCTAAACGCCAATCACACGGTTTCCCGTTCTTGGACGGATGATACACAAGCGTCGACGTCGAAAGTACCCATGGGTAAGGGGGCCCGTCTGATAATATGCCACGCAGGTTCTGCAAAATACGGCTTTGTGGAGAACGCGTTACTGGCATTTCAATCAAAAACCACAAATGACTACCACGAGGAAATGAATGCCACTACATTTAAAGAGTGGTTCCAGAACGTGCTTTTGCCCAGCCTACCAGAGCCTTCTGTAATATTCATGAATAATGCCTCCTATCACTCGGTTCAAATACAGAAACCATCTACCTAAGCTAATAAAAAAGAAGAAATGGTGGCTTGGTTACAAGCAAAAGGCATTGAAGCAAATATGCAGATGCTAAAACCAGAGCTAATTAAATTAGTTAAGGAAAATAAAGCGGCAAATGTGCGATACGAAATCGATGACCTGGCTCTGGAGTACGGTCATCGCGTTCTAAGAATTCCACCGTATCATTGCCAATATAACGCGATTGAGCTAATCTGGGCTCAAATAAAAGGTTACGCCGCCCGCCACAATACTTCCCCGCCATTCAGCACGAAAAAGATGATGACCCTATTAAAAGAAGCCTGCGGGAAAGTCACAAGAGATGACTGGGCAAAGGTTGTTGAGAAGACTAAAAACCTGATTGTGGAACATTTTGACCGAGATATCAGGATTGATTCCGTTATTGATAATAATATAATTATACATGTAGGCGAAGATGATGATGAAGACACCACCTCCTCAAGCGAATCGGAGTCTGATTAATATTCTGTACGCACATTCAATTCAATGTACTTTATTGCATAGAAATACAGATTGTAACTTTGTAACAAAGAATAAATAAAACAATTTTATTATATTAATATTACCTTTTTGTGGTTTCCACTTAAATTACTAAAATATAAATTTTAAATGATTCCGCCAATTTAAAATAATGAAATAATGAAAATAATCTTAAAAATAACGCGGCGGTTCATTTTGGAGGAACGTTAACGAACTCAGTGTTACGTTGTGCCCATCACTAGTCGTGACTAACGGATAGGTGTCAGGAACGCATTCTCTGAACGGCCGAACTATGCGACGTTTACTGTGGGCTCAAATATAGTTAGTCTGTGGCACAAATGCCGTTACTTTTAGTACAAGATGTCGTCTAAACAAGACAAAACAATTACAATTCAAATCAAATGTCGAAGTGTTGAAGACCTACCGGCATTGTCATTTGTTGTGAGATAATAACAAAAAAATTTTAACAAAAAAGATAAATAAAATAAAATGACACGAAAAATAATGAAATTAACATACGATTTTTGTTGAAAAGGAAATTAATAAGTATGCTACTTCTTCGCTGATCTCTTAGAGCATTGAATAGCTTTGTCAGATTCACTTCCACCACCACTGGCTGCCACCTGTACTTGCGAAGCGGCTGCTGAAACTACTGGTACGGCTTCTAGCTCTGCCATGCATTCAGGAGCCATAATGTATATAAAACCATACAAATAATACAAATTTGTTATTAGTTCTTCACGCTTCAACACTTCAACTTACTGACCCGTTGGGCTATGTTAGTTACTCTGATTCATTACATTATTTATTAATTATTTAACTGCAGAATTTCTTGTCTGTTTTTCTTGGTCTTGTTTTTGGGACCGGTAGTAGGATTTTGATGTTTACTAGAAAACCAAAACAAATACTTGAATTGGTATTAAGTAACTATATTGTATTGTTTACAGTTTTTCAAGCCGATTCGTCCGGTGAACATTAACATTCTGTATGACAACAGCGGACGACCTTCAGGAGAGGCAGATGTTGAGTTTGAGTGTCATGATGATGCAATGAGGGTAAGCATATAATTTATTTATAAGAAATGATATCCCTATTGCAGAGAAAATAATACCGTTAATAATATTATTCCAACTAATTTTAGTTTGAATAATATTATTAACGGTATATATAAATATGAATAAAAAGAAATATTAAATAAATAATCGGTACGGTAATTTGCGGGGAGTAATAGCAAAGTTGAGGCCTTTGGATAAAACCCTAATTGTTGCATCATCCAGTGTTTGTTTTGACAGATTATAGAGCGCGATTAATCTATGATCTGTGTTTGTCAATGGTTGCTTTTGGTTCTGGCATTGATTCAGATGTTTGACATTTGACTTGTTCGTTAATTTTTGATATTTTTCTATATGCTTGTTTTTGCATTCGTTATATTTACTAATTTCGCGTTTATTTAATGTTTCCATGCAAAAATTATAATCAAACGTCGTTAAAACTTTCTTTAATTCACTGGATGATGTGTCTATGGATTTATTTATGTCATATAGATCGGAGCGTTTTTGTTGTATTACCGTCCGTAACAACTTTTTACTCGCCTGATTTAAGATCTTAGCGCTTCCTCGAATGTCCTTTTTGGTTGATATTTTGACACACGTAGGAATGAGATTATGGTCACGGCATCTCTTCAAGAAATTTAAGGCTGTTAGATATCTTGCGCGCTTGGTCTTTAGATCTTCTAATCGGCGTATTTTATTTGCAATTACCAGTCCGTACTGATTATACATAATGATTTCTTATATTTACGCGAACACTACACATTGAAATAATACTAGTTTTTACGGAATTTATCGCGTATATTTAACTTTTTAAATACCCGACGTTTCGAACGCTTTACAGCACTCATGGTCACGGGCGGGACTGAGATGTTCAACGTCCATATGTCATAGTTAACCGCGGTTACCATAGATTAAAATTTAACTTTTCTTCCGATCTATGTAGTATGAACTTATGGTAAATATATGCTTTAAGTCCCGCCCGTGACCATGAGTGCTGTAAAGCGTTCGAAACGTCGGGTATTTAAAAAGTTAAATATACGCGATAAATTCCGTAAAAACTAGTATTATTTCAATTATCGATTTGTGTTTGAAATCGGATTTTAGTTTCATTTTGATATATCTGACGCACGCCTAGCGCCTGATCTCTCTCCGATTATGTCGGATGGCTGGCCCTTCGGACTAGGAGAGTGAGGGAATAGAGAGTGCCCGTGCGCTTGCGCATACACTCGGGCACTATAATCCTATCCTGCGCAGATGGCTAGTTTCCATTAACTTTTCATTGGTCGTCGTGATTGGAATTCGGTCTGGATGACATTGTTAGTCACTTCTATATTTTATGAAAAACTTTAGAATTTGAATGAAATTAGTTTTACTAGATTATTATCTAGAATTTGCTTTTTAATCTTCAGGCAATGAGACGCGACAAAAACAACATGGACCACCGCTACATCGAGCTGTTCCTTAACTCCTCGCCCGGGACTGGGAGCGGCTTCAAGTCCAACAGGAACTTCCGCAACAATTATTGATGATGAAATCTGCCCTGTCACATAGTGGTAGAATCGAAAACACAAGCAATGTTCTTAACTTCGAACTAGAGTTACATTTTTAGAAGCACATAATTTTTTATTAAATTACGAATGTGGCACTTCTGCCATTTCAGGAAATTTTAACGCGTGCAAGAAAATTTTCTGAAAGCTATTTTCTTACACTTAGAACTAACTAACTTATACTTCCTTAAACATGATATAAAAAAATTCCTAGTACTTGGTTTTTTTTTGTTAAATTAAGCATAGAGAAGTGGAACTCATCGCATTCTGTTTCAACTATTTTGTATGAATTGAAGCTGGATCTTCCTTACAGATATGGAATAGGCAAATAGTAATGATAAAACACAGCCAATAAAACTTAAGAAAACTATAAGTTAGTAATTAAAACCTTTAAAACAGCATGCAATTAGTATTATTTGTTTATGTACATTATTATTAACATTGTCGTCAGTTTTTATAAAAATGAAGAGAAAGGCAACCATCTAATATATATTTTTACTTTATTAAATGAGCTAGTACAGTCCGCGCATTCTATCTTGGCCGGGCTGAAGAATGCTTTCCGAGACATTCGCCCATAGATATATAAAACAAAGTTAGTATAGATGTATAAAACAAAGTTGTTTGTATATTCAGCATTTATAGGTACTTTAAGGTCAAAATAAAATCTTTTCACTAGTTTCGAGGGTATTTCAAGAGAGGCTTGACAGTCCCATTCAGAGGCATTGGATCCTAATGGATGTGGGTGGGACATTCAAGTTTCTTAGCTGAAATCTTAACTGGTTATGCGCGGTAAAGTCACACTCTATTTTATAATAGCTCGAGCGAAGAAAGACTACTCCCATACATAACCAGCATGAAATACAATACTTTTTTACTGGTAACGAGGCCTCTTAGTTCTCAGAGATGGCAACTTATCTGCATTTCGATTCTTAATCAAGGATATTTATGTCATCGTTAAATGGACTAGTGATCGTTTGTCACCCATACTTCTATAAAAAATAACACGTTTATAGGATGACTTCTTATCTATTCTTATCTACGCGAATTCGAACGCGGTTTTATTGCGTTTAATTTCTTGATTAACTCCTGATATTTCAGAGCCCGCGGCGGGAACTCTCCATCCCCCAAAATAAGTAAAATAACCGCGATACAATCCGTAAAAGTAATTTTATTCAACATTTAAAGGAGCAATTACATACTTCATAATTTTTTAATAAACATTTTTCGTTCGTATCGTCTAATAGTTATGAGTGCAATCGTGCAAGTATGATCGAGTTACGCGTGTAGTACAATATTTATTGCTTTAACAGCATTTTTTCGTTTTTGCGAATAGAAAAAAAGGAATATTTAATAAAATGGAGTTAGTTGTGCGTTAGAAGATTTAAAGCATCATAAATGTCTACTTATGTCAGTGACGATATGAAATATACGCTTAAGATATTGCTGTATTTAGCTACAGTAGCTCTCACTACTATAATCAAAAAAACTACTATAATCGAAAAGAGACATTCGCCCATGTACAGACGCCAGTCGATAGAGATGTGTCACTTCATATTAGCTACTAACATTGCTTAGGGAAACAGTTTTCGTCTACATCGATTATAGAATAATTTTAAAAGAATTATTATAACAAAAATACCTTTTTCGTTATTTCAATTAAACAATAATATCTAGTAAATAATTAATGTAATATAAAATATAGAAAATAAAACAGTTGCAATATTTAGTAAATACACGATATTAGCGGGGACAACAAATTCTTTCAGAAACCCCAAAATAATATAACTAAATTTTTCAATAAAATGTTTAATATTCATCATTAATAATTATTAATTATAATTACTGTATTTAAAACATGTTGCATTTACACACAAACTAACCATAAAAAAATATAAAATAAAATCGAGTCATATTCAGTAATAACGATAATCGATTATTTACGTAATATGCGTATTTGCATCTCAAATTTTAGTTACCGTCCTCTCACTACACTTGTCACCATTTTGTCCCTAAAAATGATATATCTGCGCAGCCTCTTGTGACTAACTTCAGCCCGGCCATAGATCTCGCGGACTATACCCTCATTTGTATTGCAGGAATCCAATATAACCAAATTTTTATACCTTCACCGTCGATTCGTGACACAACTGTAAATTGCCTAAATCAGGGGTCTCCTAACCACTGTCTGCAAACAACCAATTCGATGAGTTACAGCATTAAAAGAAACGAAAATGTGTGCGTAATTCAAAACCTCAGTATATCGGTATGATAAGCTAGGTGGGTTTTGACCTTTGAAAATTTGTCAAAGACAAAGTGACCCAAAATTTTGGTAATCCTGATCTAAGTCAAAGGCACAGAAATCAAGTAACCGAAATGCAAGGAGCAAAGATGTAAACCATAAATGGCTTTACTGTCTTACCTTCCCTGGGCTATCTATTAATGTTCCATAAATATGATGGATGATAAAGTTAACTTGAGAAAATGTTTTAAAATTCTAGACTAAAGAATTTATTACAAAACTACTTTTGGTGTAGCGTAGTTAAATTGGTAAGATTACATATACTGTCTACTTTAATCTAAAATTATAAATTTATCCCTTCAAAATTTCGATCTAGTAACAATTAAGACCTCACCATTTTGTACTGAAGTAATTTAGGTAGAGAAGATCACACTTAAACAGTCTTATTACAAAAAGTTGTTTACAATAGCCGTGTGCTTAAACTATAGTTTCTAGAAAGAATTCAAATTTAAAGTATTGAATTAGATAAGAAATATCAAATTTCGCAAAGACCGCGGTGTAGGGACTTTCTTGGGATAGACTCCTTAAACCATAGTTTAAACCGGAGATTATTTCAAAAATAAAACTTAATAAACCACGTTTTGTAATGAGACAGAAAATGTAGGTAGATGAGCATTTCTCGTAATTTCTTGTTAAATATTTCTAGAATAGTATACATAGTACAATGTAATAAAACAATTAATTGTCGTGTAAACAAGTGTGTGGAGCGTGGGGTCCAATATTGATTTTTGTACATTTTGAATAAATGCCTCTCTATACGAAGACTTCTATGAATAGTACTTATTGGATGGGCCCTGCGCCCTGCGGCCTTTATACATTGCCTAATACATTACGGTCAATTCTCCCTAATTCCTTTAGTCGACTGCGAGCGGATGAGAAGACTAGTTCTTTGTTTAGTAAACCGTGGACGTAGTTTTCGAATTTCGATCTAACAATGACAATCTAGCACTGACTTTGTTTAATGTGACTAAGGAAACGCTGTTATTATTTATATGCGTACTTTGTCAACGTGATTTGAAGTTTATTTCAGATAAGTATTTAACTTTATTTATTTCGTATTTATATAACTGTAGTAAATGGAAATACAACTGCGTGGCATATTTACCTTGCCCGCTACCCGCCCAGCAGGCGCAGGATACACAGCTGTGTTCTGAATTCCCGGTATAGTTTTATACATAGAAGTCTTTGGCTCTTAAAATCAATTTTTGCTGATAAATTTTTGTATTTCTTTTATTGCATACTCCAAACATATTATTTTGTTAGGGAGACTTCTTACATGACAATAAATAAATGAAATTTCATATACTCAAAAGTAAGTTTTGAATGACACAGTTTCAAGTGATGCTAAAACCATGCTCAACTTGTTCACCCGCACTCACTAATACATCTACATATACATCTTTATCAGCCCGTACAAGTTCTAAGCTGGAAGCATATGCACCTAAAACCATGTTGATTGCAAATTATTTTAGATACATATGTGGCAAAGTGTGTGTTATAAACTGTTGAGCTTGGTTGAAATGTACGCAGCGCTCCGTCTTTGATGGTCTGAGAATACAGTTTGATTGATCTTGTATTTTTGAAGGAATTTTTATATTCAGTCATCGAGTATGGTGTATCAGTTAGGGCTAGTAATATTTCCGCTCACCAGATGTCGGTACTTGGGACTGAGGTGATGATTGTTATTATATAATGTCATAATTGAAAAGTTTCTGTAGTATTATATTTATACACAAAACAATGCCGCAGTGATTTGGTCTTTAGTTTTTTTGCTTTAAAGTTAATTTTTAATTTTTTTTACTTTAGGAATATCCGTGTTTTGGTTTATTCATTTCTAATTAATATAAAATATTAATCATATTACAGACAGAAACATTAACCCTCACATTCTCCTAACAAATTAACTTCCCATTCTACGAAGTCTGTATTTCACCTCATTTCAAAGTGGCGCCGTGGTGGCAGAAAAAGTGAATCCTCATTGCCAAGAGATACCCTAGAGTCAGTTTTGATATGATTACAAAAGGTTTTATTTTTGTATTTATTTTGCAAATTTTCTCAATAAGTTTATTTTAAATAGAGTAAGACTCGCGAAGCGTTTATTTTAGTTCTCGGTCGCCCCTAGTTTCATTTGTCTCTTAGTTTTAATTATTACTAGCAGAATAGAGGATTTTATAATGATGGTTAAGAAACGATAGGTTAATGTAAGTCATAAGTAATTTTTACTTTAGTTAATAAATAACTTAAACTTATTTGTTTTATTTCGCTTTAATATCCCAAGTTTTGCCGGAGACCCGTTTTACTGGAATCGCGGCATTCCATCTTAGGCCTCAAGGGTGACAACGCATCTGCGTTTTGATTCTTAATCCAGGTTAAATACAGATGTCTTTCGGCCGCAGTATCCACTTACCGTCAGGGACTGTGTGCTTGTTTATCACCCTTATCCTATAAAAAACGTGTTCTCTGTGTTAGAAATTGTTTTATTAAAATTCAAAAAATCCATATAATCATCTATGTGATATAAGTACAGTTAGAATCTTTATTAAACAGCTTCGTGGCGCAATGTCTTAGCAATGAGTTGCAGCGCATTTGTATAGCCTACAAATAGTTGTTCCAGGTCTGGATGTTCGTCCTTGTATGTTAACTACTTCAACTATACAGGAGAAAATCCTAGTGGCGGTAA